GACGCCTCACCTACGCTGACACCTGCGCTGACGCCTGCGCTGACGCCTCACCTGCACAGACACCTGCGCTGACGCCTCACCTACGCTGACACCTGTGCTGACGCCTCACCTGCACAGACACCTGCGCTGACACCTGCGCTGACGCCTCACCTGCGCTGACGCCTCACCGGCACAGACACCTGCGCTGACGCCTCACCTGCACAGACACCTGCGTTGACACCTGCGGCAGCCTCAGGCGCTCACCCATCCTGCCAGCAGCCTGTGCTCAGGGAGCGCTCCCTTCCGGGGGCGGGCAGGGCGTCTTTGTGGGGCTGGTGTGTATCACTCAGTCCCGTCAGGCCAGGGGTGGCCGGCTAATGTGTGGGGTGCGGGCTCTCTGGTGGCCGCACCCGTGGCCTGCGCCGAGGGGCTGGTCTGTGCAGTCCGGGGAGCGCAGGCAGCGCCGCCTGCCGTCGCCGTCGGGAATTCTCTCTGCAGCCCCCTCAGTCCGATCTTGTGTGTTAGTGTGTTGATTTCTGTTGATTATTTCCTTTCTGGCCACCTTGCCTGCTAGCAGGACGTGCGCTGGGCTTGTGGTCAGGCCCTGCTCACCTCTCTGAGGCGAGGCCCCTCAGCGACTCGCATTGGCGCCGCAGCGGCCTTTGCTTTCCAGCCGCTGCAGCCGCAGCCCCCTACTCCCGGGTCGGGTTTTGCTGTTCCACAGAAAACAGCCTGCACCTCGCCTCCCGTGCGTGTGCTTCAGACTGCTGCCACTTATTTCCTGCTGGCGCGCTGCAGTCAGGTTTTGCATTTGTGTTAGATCACTGAAGGGAAGTTGCACTTTGCTCTGGAAATCCATTCACAGCCTTTATAGTCTCCGAGCCTCTCAGTTTTGTGTTTTCACTGCAATATTTGTAATTAGGACCCATTTATAAGTTTATCTGTGCTCTTTGGCTCTTAACATTGCTTAGGGTTGTTGAATTCATTAGTTCTCAGAATACTTTGTTAGCTTCTGATTCTGTGTTTATTTTTTAATCATTGTTAATTTGCACTGTTTTCTTTTTTTGTTCCTGAATCTTTATGTTTTATTTCCCACTGTCTCCGCCAGTGGCTAAGGTGCGGATTCTGATTTTCAGCCCCTGGCAGTCTGTCATGTCCACACCCACAGCAGCTGCGGGGTCTGTGTCCTCTGAGCCAGCAAGTTGTCTGCTCCTGTTCTGCCACATGACCCGTGCTGCGTGAAGGTAAACACATGTGGGCTCCTTACCTCTGTGCCCACCGAAATAAAAACCTGAGCAGGAGGCAGCTTGTGAGCCAGTCAGAGGAGAGGGCCAGGAGCAGCCACAGCTGGCTGGGGAGAGCCTCCGGGGGCTTGAGGTCAGCTGTGCGGCTGGGCAGGGTCACCGGGAGGGCAGGGGCTCTCCATCTCCCTGCCACCGAGGCCTTTGGCTTCCCAAGGTCACCTGCCAGGTGAGGCTCCCTGACAGGAGGGAGGCTGGCGTTTGCGCGCTTCCCTGATCTCTAAGCAGCTTCATGCTGGGGTGGGGCCCTCGGACTGGCCAGCGCGCCCTCTGGCCCTGGCAGCCTGCCCGTACTCCCCCTTCCAGCTCAGCCCTAGCGGTGAACCCCAGTTTGCGTCTTTCCTGCGCTCCCTCAGGGGTGGTGGCCGCCGGTGCTTCTGGCTATTTGTGAGTGTGGAAGAG